AACTAAAATTTTAGAAGTACCTCTTTAGTAACTAATAGAATAATATCAGTATAAATATTTGAACAGAACTATTAACCACCTCGAACTGACATATATGGACCACTATACCTAACAAGTGCATACATATTTTTTTCTAGTGCACAGAAAACATCTACCAAACTGGACTATTTGCTGGGTATAAAAGTATCAAGATGCCGAAACCGGTTTGGCTCAGTGGATAGAGCGTCAGCCTGCGGACTCAAGGGTCCCGGGTTCGATTCCGGTCTCATCGATGTTTCTAACTCTCTATCTCTCTCCCTTCCTCTCTGTAAAAAATCAATAAAATATATTAAAAAAAAAAGTATCAAGAAAGCATAGCTGTAGTAAGTCGCATGGAAAGTATTTTGCATTCTTACTGGCTTTGTATTCATACTAATCTCAGTATTTTAAGCCAACATTGCTTAACTAAACATGTATTAAGCACCACTTATGTGAACTAGAGGCTAGGGACTGACTGGGCTTTAAGAGTCCCGACCATAAGATCCGCTATGCTTACATTATTGCTTTATCAGTGGTGTTTTTAGCATAGTATGATGCCGTAGTAAAATGAACACTGAGATAATCTACATCATACTTTTTGCAGCTAAAGAAGCTTAAGTTAAAAAAAAAAAGGGGGGGTTTGTAAACTCAAATACCTACATGGCTAAGCAGAAAACATAAACACGTAAAGAGAGCCAGGTGAGGGCTGAAGAGCAAATGTGGGGATCTAAAGAGGCAGCCCTGCACAGGCCAGGAGGGGAATGTGGAAAGTGTTTCCAGATCTGATTTTGCAACAGAAGGCAGAAATCTGAATTTGTTTTGCATGAAACTTTCCATTTTAATACTGACAACCAATGCAAGTTAAAAAAACAACAGCAAATATTTTGGGGTTTAAATAAGATAGAGCTCTATTTGCTAAAAATCTCCATTCTAAACGATTAACTGACCCAAATGACAAGTTCTAATCCTGGCTCTGCCACTTACCTGCTATCTGAGATTCACCTACTACTGCCCCTCCCACCCCCATTCATCCCTTTCATGTATCCTCAATAAAATGATAGCCGCCCGGCCAGCATGGCTCGTGGTTGAGCGTCGACCTATGAGCCTGGAGGTCACGATTTGATTCCCAGTCAGGGCATATGCCCTGGTTGAGGAATAGATCCCCATTGGGGGGCGTGAAGGAGGCAGCCAATCAATGATTCTCTCTCATCATTGATGTTTCTTGTGGGAAACTGATATAGGGTTAAGCCTCGGACTGACCTTCTGCAACCAATGCAAGTTAAAAAAAACAACAGCAAATATTTTGGGGCTTAAATAAGATAGAGCTCTATTTGCTAAAAATCTCCATTCTAAAAGATTAACTGACCCAAATGACAAGTTCTAATCCTGGCTCTGCCACTTACCTGCTATCTGAGATTCACCTACTACTGCCCCTCCCACCCCCATTCATCCCTTTCATGTATCCTCAATAAAATGATAGCCGCCCGGCCAGCATGGCTCGTGGTTGAGCGTCGACCTATGAGCCTGGAGGTCACGATTTGATTCCCAGTCAGGGCATATGCCCTGGTTGAGGGATAGATCCCCAGTGAGGGGCGTGAAGGAGGCAGCCAATCAATGATTCTCTCTCATCATTGATGTTTCTATCTCTCTCTCCCGATCCCTTCCTCTCTGAATAACCTTAAAAAATAAAATAATAAAAATAAATAAAATGATAACCAAGCTTATTAAAAATATATACAAAAGGATCAGATCAACCAAGGCAGAGATTTGCAAAGTTACCTGGACATATTCTTGGTCTAAGCCAATATTTTACTGTAATCAACGAAAAGTTTTAATATATCAAAAGAATATGTCCACCAGAAAGAGTCAGTAATGGAAACATGCATACATTACTGCCGGAAAAGCAAAGCTGGCGGTGACCAGCTTAGCCCTGCTTAGGGAAGTAAGTGGTCCTTTAGGTCAGCTCAGCTCAACAGGAATTTCTGCCATGGTGGAGATGCACTGTCCAGTATGGTTGCCTCCCCTCACATGGGGCTATTGAACACTTGAACTGTGACTAGTGCAACTGAAGAACTGAGTTCTTAATTTAATTTCCTTTAAATAGTCACATGTGGTAAGTAAGTACCATGTAACACGGCAGCCCTAAATCATTTTATCCTTGAGGGAGGCCTATGCCACTAGTGCAGAGGAATGCATCAGATTAGCAGAACTCCATTTAACTAACCTGCTAGGATTTTATGCTCACTGAGCAATTCCCCAGTTAGTCATTGTCTTAACATGCAGAGTAGCATACAGGAAAAGTAAATGTAAATACTGGATCTACATATAATTGTAGTAAACCAACATATTGATTTTTCATTATCATTTTTTCATTAAATGGGTTATCTTGAATCTGTCCCTTAGTAGGCTAACAACTTGACTTTGTCAGCATACCACACAGACACCCAGGCTCTGATAGAGGGTTCAAGCCAAGGGATGATTACCCTGTAGGCACTGGTCTGAATGGTATATTTGCCATCCAGTGTGACTCCTCAAACTGCAACAGAATCCCTGTCTCTTAATTCTATGTAACTCTTTCCATTATACACGGTACATTTGTTTTTCAATAAGTTGAAAGCATTACTTACCTCTTTTTCCAACATCTTCAAGTCTTTATCATTCTTTTGAGATTCCTTCTATTTAAAATTCAAAGAATAGTGATGATCAAATTTTAATGCCACAAACATCATAGCTGAATTTTATTTTTAGTTATCAGAAAAGATTAAGGATTCCAAACAGTTAATTTCTATTTTAAAAATTTCCCTGAGTCTATTACATACTTTGTAGGTGACTTAGTAAATGAGGGAAAAGGTTCTTTAAATCTCAAAATATTTCAGGCTTAAAAGTTTTTATCTCAATAAAATTAGATTTGTGGGTTTTGTTCTTAAGAAGTCCGAGAACAGAGGAGGAGCTTTATGAAGAAAGCTACTGACTGCTTCTTTCTAATGTTAAACAGCAATACATTTTTAATTTTTAATTATGCTATCTCATAAAGAAAAGAATCTTACAAAGAGAAATCGACTTAAACTTACAGGCCCAAAAGAAGGGGGAAAATGCAAAGAAATAAAGACAAACTGAAATGGTACAGTTCAAAAAACAGGTAGAACGTAAGATCATCTCACCTTTAATCCCAAAGTCTTAACTTTTCTTGCTGAAGCAGGCAAGGTAGTATCTTTGTCAACAGTAAGATTTTGTTGAGATTCTGCAATAAATTGTACCACAGACAAAACACAATTTCAAAATTTCTTATTGCAACTATTAGTGAAGCAATATGTTATTCTTTTCTTGGCTGTACATTTCTAAATAATTAGTTGTACAATATATTTTACACATCTAACATTTTTCTGATTTTCTTAATGTTCCCTGACAGAAGGCTAAGGTAATTAGCAAAAGGGAAATGAGCCCTAGTTGGTTTGGCTCAGTGGATAGAGCGACAGCCTGTGGACTGAAGGGTCCCGGGTTTGATTGCGGCCAAGGGCACATGCCTGGGTTACGGGCTTGATCACCAGTAGGGAGCGTGCAGGAGGCAGCCAATCAATAATTCTGATCATCGATGTTTCTCTCTCTTTCTCCCTCTCCCTTCCCTTCCTCTCTGAAATCAATCTCTCTCTCTCTCTCTCTTTCTCTCTCTCTATATATATATATATATGAAACAACATATCTATGTGTTTTGTATAATTTTCCTGATTATACAATAGTGTAATGATAAAAGCATTATTCTGTAGTAGACTCTCTTATAAATCCATCAAATACAAAACTTATTTATTTTTCAAATACAAAAATTTAACTATACCTATAGTTTCACATTTTTAGAAATACCATAACAGCTTTAAATGTATACACTATTATTCATAACTTTAAAACTTACGAGATCATATAACATTATTTTATTTTGGGATCCAGTACCTTTTTGTTTTTTAAATCTTTGTGATTTCTGAAAGGATACTGGTCCTTTCAATACTTCTGAAGTTTTCACATCATAAGCACCTGGAGATGGTGCACAACCTAGAGAAACAGAAAACATTAATGTTTCTTCTAATGTCACTTAGAATCCTAAGTTAAAACATGCAAAGTAAACTGAGTGATACAAATGTAAAAAATGCTATAAATAGACACTTTGTTCTTTCAAATGTAAAAATAGCACCCATTTGATATGAGGAACAATATCATCTTGCCAAATGCCCTTTATTTCAATTGGGTCAAAGGAATACAGGCAACTGAGCAAAACAGCAAAGACAGTCTTGGGATGAACATTATGAAAGAACAAGCAACATGGTTTTCTTTTTAAGGATTGACTATAAGAAATTATATATTTGGAATCAACGCTACTCAGAGTCACTGAGGTTAACTATCATCAGATTCTAGAAATGAAGCAAATAAAAGTGTCTAGCCCTCAAGATTTAAACTGGAAAAAAATGTATAGTGATAATCCATCTCTGCCTAATATCAATATATCAAAAAATTTATAACGCCATAGACTATATTTGTATGTCTCAGAAATTTATATTTTATAACCTCATGTAAGTAACTAGAGTCCAAAATTAAAGGCATTTCAGAGTGCTTATGCGTAGCAAATGTAAGATTTGGCTTTCAGGACTCATAATAACAAAAATGTCATTAGCATAAAGCTTTATTTGATTGGAAATCAATAGAGTTATACTATTCTCTGAAAAGCTATTTACTTCAGAGTTTCATGCAAATAAATAGGAACAGCAAGGAGTTAGACAATCCCAAAGCAACTCGTACTATCCCCTAACTGTTTTTCAAATGGGATGATAAAAGCTCACTGGTACATCTTCACTAGCATTTTTTTTTTAAAAAGTGAAACAACAGAAAATATCTGTGTACTCACACATAGCAAATTTTTCTCTGAAATCAATAAAAATATATTTAAAAAAATAATCAGAAGCTAACACAGGCAGTCCGGCGGTACTTTTGTATACACATAAACATTCTATGCATTGCATTAAATAAATGCTTCAAACTTTCAGAACTTTTTAGTTTCTTTTCCTTCCACCTCGAATGGCTAGTTCACCTGCCATTTTGCCTGGCTAACTCTCACTTATCCTTCAGATCTCAGCCTGATGTCATCTCTTCCAGTTTTCTCTGAATCCTCCAATCAGGTTTTAACCACCACACAGCAGACTGTGCATACCATTCCTATCATAGAACTTCCCAGTTTTGCAACGGTGTATGTACTTATATAGTGTACTTCTCCACTTCCCCACACTAGACAATGTACTTATCCATCTCCCATATTAGGCAAACTGCTTGGAGGTAGAAACTGTCTTAATCATGACTGTATCCCAGTATTTAGCTCAGGGCTGAGGTGAGCAGTGTCGTGAAAACACAGAAAGTCACTAGGGATGTGGCAGACGGAATAGTGTTTTGTAATCAGCCAGATTAGGATTCAAACCCAGCTTTGTCTGCCAATCAAAAGACATTACTATGTGCCAGATACAGTGTAGTCATTGGGAGAAGATGGTGAATAAGAACAATTCCATTTCCATACTGTCTGACGGAGATTAAAGACAGTGACCACTAAGTGTATGTTATAATGGATAAATCATGGTTCAGCTCTACCACTTACTGGCTGCTCAGTAGTAGTTACAAAACCCCTCAGTTTCCTCATCTGTAAAATAAGGACAGTACCAGCACCTTCCTCATTTGGCTGTTGGAAAAAATAAACCAGACCTAGGAGGAAAAATCTTAGCACAGTCCCTGCATAAAAAGTCAGCCTGTAATAAATGATGGTTTTACCAACCACACCCACGGTTTCCTGGTTGTTGCACGTAAGCACCTGCAGTGGTTAAGAGCACGGGATGGATTTCAAGAAGGCCCAGTTCGGTTGTGTAACACAGGAAATCTAAGTCTTGGTCATTTTATTAGTAAAATAACGAATAGGATCACCTCTCCAGGATGCTGGGGCATTAAAACAGAACTAATCATCTATGTAAAGACCGTCCCTATTAACTGCCATCACTTCATTTATAGTGTTTCCGATACCACCACCACTTTACCACCACAAACTGCCTTTACCAGCCTTCTTTCCTTTATGCCTGAATGGAATATCCAAAAAGAAATCCACACGTACAGACAAAAAGCATGGTCAGGTGTTTCTTTTTTTTTTTTTTAACCGCAAGGCCTTCCGCACTGGACCATCCAATAGCTACCAACGTTTTCTCACACCTATTCCTTCTCTCTGCTTCAGTGTCTACACAGCACCGTTTATAGGCTGTATTCTCCAACGGAGTGGAAGCTCCACGGGGCAGACACCTTGCTTCGCTCACTGCTATATTCTTATTATCCTAAGTTATGCTTGGCATGTAGTAAATGCTTAATATGTATTTAAGAAGAAAAAAAATGAATCAATTGAATGATCCCCATGCCAGCCCCCAAATCGCCTCCAATTGCCCTTTGACAGAGGGAACCGCAAGGGGCAAGGGGCGTGAGAGCAACTCCGGTCCCCCAGTCCCTTCCCCCGTACGCACCAGAAGGGTCATTGAATCGCTTCAGGGGCGCCTTAGGAAAGGACATGATGACCACCAGCTCCACAAGCCGCAGGGAACTAGCGTTCCTCCACAACTTCCGGGTGCTGATCCTGGCATTACTGGCTTTCAAATTCAAATCTCCCGGCTCGTTACCCGCCCACCCCGACGTTGGCCAATTGGAAAACCAAAACCCTGGGCACACCAATCCAGGAAAGGAACAGGAAAAGAGCATGCGTACTCAGCTCTCGCCGCATCCAATGAGGTAGCTTGTGAGTCTAGGCTACCAGCCTATAGGAGAGCATGACTGTCTTCGCGCCCCGCCCCCTCCCGTGCCCAATCACGGCTGGCGTTACTCAATTGTAACCTACACACTAGCAGCATTCGCGCAAGCGCACTTCAAATCGGAGAACTTTGGAAAGTCGACCAGTGGCGTCACAAAGGTGGCGGTGAGTTCCAGCCTCGCTGGTTCCAACCGTCTCCTATCGCTCCTGGAAACGTAAACTTTTCCGGATTTCACTTGTTTCAAATTTGGCCCTGCCAGCGTCCTAAGTAGCCAATGAAAAGGGAAATACGCGCTGAGATGTCAGCTTACATTCCTGCGCATGAGCGGTGACCCGAGCGGAAACCGGAGCCGGGAGGCCGGGGCGTGGCCCGAGCGTGGAGATTCGGCGCATGCGCTCAGCTCGCTCTGTGCCGCTGCCGCCGGGAGGCACCTGGAGTATGTCGGCCCCTTTCGAGGAGCGCAGTGGGGTGGTTCCGTGCGGGACGCCTTGGGGCCAGTGGTATCAGACCTTGGAGGAGGTGTTCATTGAAGTGCAGGTGCCGCCAGGCACTCGCGCCCAAGATATCCGGTGCGACCTGCAGAGCCGGCACGTGGCGCTGGCGGTGGGTGGCCGCGAGATCCTCAAGGTAGCGGCCGGTCGGGCTGGTGCCCAGATTCCTCGCGGCCTCCCCAAACCCCCGAGCCCTAGGGCTCCCCATTTCCGTAGGAAGACTGTGGCGAGGCCGTTGGGCTTTTCTGATTGTGGTCTGGTCGGAGCCCCCACCTCCAGGGACAGTCCTGAGTTGACGCGGAAATTGGAGGAGCCCATTTTTCTGGCTTTATTTCTAAATCGAATGAAATTGCGCCTGTTGTGCCTCTGCGGGTCTTCAGCCGAAGCAACTTAGCTAGGTCGTCAAAGAAATAAATATTTATATTCCATACACGCTTCCAGGCGCCGCCCTGCGTGCCCGGATGACAGCGTTGAATGAGACAGATAACGGCACTGGTTATGGCAAGTAGGGAAGCATAATAAAAGTAGCATTATTAGTAGCATTTATAGTTAAAATCAATTAAACCCAAGCTAGATTCCTTTCTCAGATTAGCTGCTCCAGATGTTTGACGGCAGCGGTGAAGGCTGATGGGATACCTGGTTCTGCCATTTTTCTAGTTTTGAAACCTTGGGCAAGAGATTTTTCAGTGTCTCTAACTTCATCCATAAAGGGCAGTAATTACAGTACCATTTTTATAGGACTGTTTTCAGCATAACATGGCATCCATGTGCATGAAGAGCTGGAAGGAGTGCCTGCTATGTAATAAGCACACAGGACATGTTAGCTGTTGTTTTTCTATTAAAGGTGCGAGTGCCTTTGAGAAAAGCACGATTGATTTGAAAGACTTTGATTTCTATCAACGTGGACCTAAATGACCTTTCTGAATAGTTCTGCAATTCGTAGCTTCCTGCACAGTGGTTTAAGGTTACAATTCAAATTTCCAATCACTTGGGAATTTAGCAATAACTCTTTAACTCGAGGATTTTAGGTGTATATTTAGACCACTAGGATTTTTTTTTTCACACGTATTGACATGTGAAAGGAAATATATATTTGTTAACATGATATTTTCTAAAATTTGGCAAAGCAACAAATAAATGGGTTTCAGCATATGCATTCTCTTTTAAACTTATATTTTGCTCTTTACTTAAAACCAGTTTCTGAAGAAAATCAGGAACTACTAATCTTAAATCTATAGTATGTGCTAAAGTAATTTGTTAATGCCAATTTGCCCAACAAAAAGAATGAGACAGTTTGGTTTTTGTTGTTGTTTTTTTAGAATGAGCCAGTTTTTAAAAGTTTATTTTAAAAGACATAATTTCTTAATTTCATCAGGAGAGCTCTTGTAATGTATTTTAATTGATAAAGCATTTCAGTTATTCATTTTATATTTTACTAATCAGTGATCAGTAGTATTTCTTAATCTTCTAAAGATTAAGGATCTAGAGAGCCCTGTGTTTTCTGTTATAGTAAATATTCCAAGCAGTGCAAACCAGGTTTCATTTCCCTTGCTAGGAAGAAACTTAGTGTTTAGCACCTTTCAATGTGTTGAAATGGTATAAAAATTTTACCTCCCTTTTCTAACCAAATTAGACAATTTTATGTGAATTAGATAGGAAATTATGTAAGTCTTAAATCATGAAAGCTTTATAAAAATTAATGAAATTTCTGTATTTTTAGTAACATATGTTTATTTTTCAGGGCAAACTCTTTGATTCTACAATAGCTGATGAGGGAACATGGACTTTGGGTAAGGGTAATCTATTATAAGTCCTAGGGTCTTTTCACCAGTTAATTTTGTCTTGGAACTTAGTATGTTTTCCCTGTTGTATTAGGTGCTTTGTCTTTGCAGTTTTGAAAGCTATACTAATAGAAATGTATTGAGAGTAATTTTGTGTCAAGATTACCTAATGGTTTTTGAAAATAAAATTTAATGAATTCTAATTTGTGATTTCTGTTTAGAGGACAGAAAAATGGTTCGTATTGTTCTTACAAAGACAAAGAGAGATGCAGCAAATTGTTGGACTTCTCTTCTAGAATCTGAATACGCAGCTGATCCTTGGGTGCAAGACCAAATGCAGAGAAAACTTACATTAGAGAGATTCCAGAAAGAAGTAAGTCAGATAAGTGTATGCATATGTGTAGTTAAACATATTAGAAACAGAATAAATATTTTTTTAAAGTGAAGGACCCTTCATCAATATCTCTGCTTTCCATGCCTGTGTCTCAGTCTCATCTCATCAATATATTGGCTTGTTTGTTTTGTTTTAACATAAATGGAGACACACTGTATATTGTTTGTATTTCTTTTTTAATAATACGTCTTAGGTCTCTTTCTCTTTTAGAACACATAGAAAAACTCACTTCTTTAACTGCTTCAGGGTGTTTTCTAGTTTGAATGTATTGTAATATTTAGCTATTCCCATTCGATAAGATTTAGATTTCCCTATTTATGACTGCTATTTGAAAGAAAGTTTATGCTTTCATCTCTGAAACTATTCAAACATTCAAATGTATATCTTTAGCCTAGACTTTTCTCCTGAATTTTGGACTCTTATATCCAGTTGCCTATTCAGTATCTCCATTTGGCTAGCAAACATTAAACTCAGTACGTCCAACATGAACTTTCTAATGTCTCTCACATATGTTCAACCTCTAAGCTTCTCATCTCAGTTGATGGACATGAGTTGTTCTAATAAAAAAGTACACACACACACACACACACACACACACAGATAGTCCTTGAGTTACATCGGACTCGACATACATCGTTTCGTGGTACGTCGCCATCTCCCATTTATTTATATAAAAAAAAAAGTTTCGTCATTTCGATGTGTATATATATATATATATGTATGTGATTTATGTTTTTTATTATTTATTTACCACAAGTAAAGGTCAGGAATTGTTATCTTTCTTTCAAATTTTTTTACTGTTTCACTTCATTACTGCTGTGTATGTGCTCCATGTGAGTGACATAGGTACTTATGTAGGTGGGTTCCAACTTACGGCGAAAATCGCATTATGTCCCGCCATAGGAATGGATCTCCGACTTAACCCGAGGATCTATTGTGTGTGTGTGTGTGTGTGCGCAAATATATATACTAGAGGCCTGGTGCATGGGATTTGTGCGCTGGTGGGGAGCGTGGCTTGCGGGGATCAGCCGCTGAGGGAGCACTGCTCATACCCATCAGCTGAGCGGCTATGGGAGCACACTAACCACCAGGGGGCAGCTCCTGCATTGAGTGTCTGCCCTCTGGTGGTCAGTGCGCATCATAGTGACTGGTCGACCTGTCATTCTGGTTGTTCCGCTGTTCAGTCGCTGGGCTTTTATTATAGGATACACATACACACACGCACACACACACTGAGTGACCAGATTATTATGACCACCTGACGTTAGTAGGCAAATTAGCTATAATTTTGCGCTGAAGTTGCTAGAGGGCCAGACCATTATAAATGTCTGAATAGCACAACATACCTAAGTACTGTTGCTGATCAAGTTCATCCTATCATGTTGATGGCGTATCCCAATGGAGATGGCTTCTTCCAACAAGACAATGCGCCATGCCACGGTGCTCGTATTGTGCAGGAGTGGTTTCAAGAACATGAGGGAGACTTTACCTTGCTTAGGTGGCCCCCACAATCACCAGATCTCAATCCAATTGAGCATTTGTGGGACGAAGTTAAAAGAGCCATCAGGCAGCTGGTTCCACAACCATCAAATCTCACAGAACTGGACAGTGCTATTCATCAGGCATGGTGTCAGATTCCTCGCATCACCTTTCAACATTTCGTGGAGTCAATGCCAAGAAGAATCGCTGCAGTATTGAAGGCAAAAGGTGGCCCAATGAAGTACTGATGGGGTGGTCATAATAATCTGGCTGGTCATAATAATCTGGCCACTCAGTGCATATACTAGAGACCCTTGCAAGAAGATTCGTGCAACAGGCCTTCCTTCCCCTGGCTGCTGGCACCGGTTTTCCTCTGGCAGCCGGGACCCAGGCCTTCGCTCTGGCTGCCGCCTTCCGTCTTCACTCCGGCCGGAGTCTTGGCTCCAGCCGAGTCTTCGCTGCGGCCGGAGCCTTCGCTGTGGCCGGAGCCTTCAGTCTTCGCTCCTGGCGCTCCCTCCACTCCCTGCCCTCCCCCTCATAGCAGGCGTCATGCATGTGTGCTGCCCAGAGGCCCAGAGTGGCTGGGGTGGTGGGGCCACTGCTATCTTTGTTGGGTTAATTTGCATACTCAGTCCTGATTGGCTGATGGGCATTGCAGAGGTATGGTCAATTTGAATCTTTCTCTTAGTGTAGATGTATGGGGCCCTAGCAAGATAGAGTGTCAGCCAGGGGACTGAAGGGTCCTGGTTCTATTCCGGTCAAGGGCATTGTTTCTCGATTGTAGGCTCCATGTTGATCCCTGAAAAGGTTATGTGCAGAAGGCAACCAAACGATTTGTCTGTTTCTCTCTGTCCCCTCCCTTCTACTCTCTCTAAAAAAATTAATGGAAATGTATACTCAGGTGAGGATTAAAGAAAAGGAGGTGTGGGGAGTCATCCTCCATTCCTGTCTGTGTCTTAACACTCTATCCATTTTGTCAGGAAATCTTACTGGTACTACCACTGCCACCCTTATCTGGACTACCTCTAATGTCTTGTCTAGATTACTTCAGTAACCTAATTGTTCTCTTCACTTCTACCTTTGCCAAGCTATAGTCCTCTCAAAATAGCAGAGCAGTTCTTTTAAAATGCAAGTCAGATTACATTACTCCTCTTGTTAGGACTTGTTCAGTCTAGTAAAAGACAAAGTCTCTTATAGGTCTCCATCTGATCTGGTTTTCCATGATCTCCCTGACCTCTTTTCTTAATGCTGTCCCCCTCAGTCATTCTGCTCTAGCCACACAGGCCATTTTGCTGTTCCTTAAACATGTCAGGCCATTTTCATTTCCCAAAGCTTGGCTAACTTCACAGTTTTAAAGTCATTGCTCAATGAGCATTCTTTGAGTTTTGATCATTCTATTTAAATACTGTAACCTCTTCATTTCCCTAATTCTGCCCTACTTTTCTTTCCTTTTTTTTTTTCTTTCTATAGTACTTACCAACTTTTAACATACTGAATACCAACTCTTAATACACTAGGTCTGGGGCCTGCAAACTGGCTCATGGGTCAAGTCCAGCCTGTTTTTGAAGTAAAGTTTTATTGAAACACTGCTATGCTCATTTGTTTGTGTATTGTCTTTCATAAGAGTAACAGCAAAATCGAGTAGTTATGACTGAGATTGTATGGTCTTCAAAGCCTAACATATTTACTACCTGGCTCTTCACAGAAAAGTTTGCTGACTCCTGCACTAGATAACTTTAATGGTTTATTATTGGTCGGTCTCTCTCTCTCTCTCTCTCTCTCTCTTTTTAAATATATCTTTATTGATTTCAAAGAGTAAGGGAGAGGGATAGAGAGTTAGAAACATCAATGAGAGAGAAACATCAATCACCTGCCACCTGCACACCCCCTACTGGGGATGTGCCTGTAACCAAGTTACATGCCCTTGACTAGAATCAAACCTGGGACTCTTCAGTCTGCAAGCTGACACTCTATCCACTGAGCCAAACTGGTCAGGGCTATTATTGGTCTCTTGTTAGAGTGTAAGCTCCACTGAAGCAGGGATCTTTGTCTGTTTGTTCACTCTTGAATTCCACATGCCTCTAATAGTGTCTTCCAAACACTAGGAACTCAATAAATGTTTGTTGAAATGAAATGTCCTCCGAAAGACTACAGCCTGGGGTAATGCTTACTTCATTGGATTGTTATGAGGATTAACTATGTTAATATATGTATAGATCTTAGAACCCAGCCTGGCATATAGCAAGGTCTCAAAAAATGCTGTTAAAACCTGTTTGTACCCTGATACTAAAGTGTTCAAATTTAAAAAAAGTGTTTTTTATCCTATTTATTTCATCCTATTTATCTCCTTTTTGCTAAAAAAAAATATTTTAAATACTCTCAAATGTATATGTGTTTGTCCATACACTTGTCAACATTGTAACACGCATATTGGATCTTCTAAATATTTGTAAGTCTGAACATTATAAAATTATAGTTTTAAGTTACATTTTGGTGATTACAGTGAAGTTTGGTACATATTTACATGTTTATTGGCTATTTAGATTCCCTTTTTTTGTCACCTGCCTTTCAAATCTTTTTATCATTTTCCTTTGATTAAAGTTACTTATAGTTTTCCTCATAAGTTTTGTCATACGTTTTTGTTCATATCTTTTAGAATCCTGGTTTTGACTTCAGTGGAGCAGAAATCTCAGGAAACTACACGAAAGGTGGACCAGATTTCTCAAATTTGGAGAAATAGCTATTTTTTGCTGCATTCTGTGGACCCTAGCAGATGTTGCCAACTTGTTCAAAGGAACAGATTATATGGTAGAAGAAAAATGTGGATGCCTACAGTAACAAATTACAAAATATATTTAAGTATGGTTCTAAAAATTGCATTCAAATATGATTTACATAGGGAACCTCTTAAATACTGTGGTAACTATTCTATTAATATATGATAACTTTTTTTGGACTTGGTTTTGCTCAGCATGAAGTTTCATATGATGCATTTTGCTAATTTCATATTTAACCTATATTTTTAATACAAAAATTGTTAGGGTATAGATCATAATGAAAAGACAGGGTGCCTTCAGGAAAAATTAATTTTTTTCTTCTAATAAGTGTGATGTAGGAGTAATGTTCAATAAACTTTAAAATAGGAATTGTGTACCCTTTTGGCTAAGTATACCAGTCCACACAAGGAAATTATATTAATGAAAATTTTAGGAAAGAAAAAAATCCGCAAGTATATTCTGAGTAAGTGAACTTTAAGAGTTAATGAAAATCTCTGAATTAGGATATTATTTCTTGAGAGATCACTTTATGTCAATAAGCTGAAAAGTAGTTAACCTCACAGTAGGAATGGATTAATATGAAAAGAGATTTGGTGAAGTGAGTATGATTATTGGCCAAGTGTGTTGTTAGCACCATAAAACAAATTATGGTCAATGATTATAAATCAGTGACATAATTTTGATCTTCAGTGATCCAGGCATAGAAGTAAGAATTGTCTTGAAATTTTATTTCATCCTTTTTATCTTTTTTATAAAAAAAAATTTAAACAATCTCAAATGTATAGAATAGTTACAACTAAAGAACATAGAATTGTTTTTTTTCCTCAACCAGTTTGTGTAAGTTGATGACATGATGCCCAATTACCTCTGTGTACCTTAGTGTGTATTTCCTTGAAAGGAAACTCTTACATACTACAATGCAACCTTTAAAAGCAGGAAATAAGCATTGTCACATTACAACTATCCAATTCTCAGACCTTCATTCCTTTCAAGTTCAATTATCCCAATGTCTTTTATAGCAAAGGGGTACAGTCAGAATCATGCCTTTCCTTTAGATGTCACATGTCTTAACTGTGCTTAAATCTGGAACAAGTCCTCATTTTCTCCTTGACTTTTACAACCTTGGCACTTTTTTTTTTTTTTATATTTTATTGATTTTTTACAGAGAGGAAGGGAGAGAGATAGAGAGCTAGAAACATCGATGAGAGAGAAACATCGATCAGCTGCCTCCTGCACACCCCCCACTGGGGATGTGCCCGCAACCCAGGTACATGCCCCTGACCGGAATCGAACCCGGGACCCTTCAGTCCGCAGGCAGACGCTCTATCCACTGAGCCAAACCGGTTTCGGCCAACCTTGGCACTTTTGAAGATTACAGACTTTTTTTTTTTTTTACAACATTCCTCAATTTGAATTTTGTCTGATATTTCTTTATAGGTTCAGGCTTTGCATCTTTGGCAGGAATGTTAAAGAAGTGATGCTGTGTTCTTATTGCATCCTACCATGTGTTAATTTTAATTTGTTCTTTCTCTTCTGGTGATTACTTAAATTACTGTTTAAGCCCTAACCGGTTTGGCTCAGTGGATAGAGCGTCGGCCTGCAGACTGAAGGGTCCCAGGTTCGATTCCGGTCAAGGGCATGTACCTTGGTTGCGGGCACATCCCCAGAAGGGAGTGTGCAGGAGGCAGCTGATCGATGTTTCTCTCTCATTGATGTTTCTAACTCTCTATCCCTCTCCCTTCCACTCTGTAAAAAATCAATAAAATATATTAAAAAAATAAATTACTGTTCAAGTGATATCTGCTAGTCTTCTCCATTGTAAAGTTACTCTTTTTATGTGTATAATTGAGTACTTTGTGGAAGTTAGTTTCAAATTATTTGTTTCTTACTAAACTTTCATTTTATTGATATCTTTATGGACTCATTATTTCCTACTTTATTCAGCAGGTTAAAATCAATTATTCCTATTACTTTGATTCCCAAAATTTTTCTAGATTTGGCCAGTGCCAGACCATTCTAAGTGGCTTCTATGTCCTTTTGACATGTCCCCATTATTATCTGAGCAATTTCTTAATCTGTCACAAGGCATACTAGGCTTATTATGCTTTCTCTGCCCTAGCCCAAGAATCAGCAATTTTTCCATGGAATCTTGGTTTTCATTCATGGAGAATGGTTTTTAGAAGTGAGCAATTACTGTTGATGTTTGTATAGTGCATACATTTACATCTATATTTATATGTATTGAAAACTATGTTGTTCACACTTGGTTTTTAGTATAGTCACTTTCATTTCTAATCTCTTAGGGTCATTTTTGTTTTCTCTCTGTAATTCCTTTCAACAATAGTGAGAAACCTGATTCTGTTATCCTTAATGTATTTGGTTCCCTATTCTAGGCCTTGTTGCTATGAATGAATGCCTTCTCTCACTGTGTTTAGGCTCCAGCACCCTATGCCAAGCAATGATAGCCTTCTCACCTGGGACCCTTACCCTCCACATTGGGCCACTGCAGCCCAGCCACTCCCTATGTTCATGTTACCCAGTAACTTTAGGAGTGAAATTATGGGGAAGAGGCTTTTTTCTTGTAATTGGCTTCTCATTTTAACATTTTAAAAATATTTTATAATTTGAATAAACAAAGTAAAATCAACTTTTTTGTTTGTAGTTCTGTGAATTTTAACATGTAGAAATATGTTACCTCCAAAATCAGGAGATTGAACTGTTCAGTCACAAAAATGCCTTCATACTAGATTTGTCTTTTTAACAAGTTCACGTAAATGGAATCATGTGCTATCTTTTTTTAAAAAGAGCTTTATTGCGATTAAATTCATTTTACCCACTTAAAGTGTATAATTCAATGGTTTTTAGTACACTCACATATTCAACCATCACCATGGTCCATTTTCATTTTCATTGCCTGAAAATGAAACCCCATGCCTTTTAGCTGTCATCCTCCCCAGTTCCTGACCTAAGCAACCACTAATTTACTTTCCATTTCATAGATTTCCCTGTTCTGAACATTTTATATTTATGAAATAACTAGAGGCCCAGTGCATGAATTCATGCATGGGTGGGGTCCCTCGGCCTGGCCGGCGGGGCCGATTGGGGCTGTGGGAGGTTGGCCAGCAGAGGGAGGGGCCACGGGAGGTTGGCCAACCCTATCGGGGTCATCAAGGTGGGGAGGGGGAGGGGCTGCGGAGCACACTGACCACCAGAGGGAGGCTCCTGTGTTGAGTGTCTGCCCCCTGGTGGTCAGTGTGTGTCATAGCGACTGGTCAACCAGTCATTTAGTTGCTTAGGCTTTTATATATATAGATAATATGTGATCGTTTTTTATTGGCTTCTTACACTTAGCATAATGTTTTAGAGGATTTCCACATTATGTGCCAGTGCTTTATTTTTTTAAAAAGATATTTTTATTGAATGTTTTAGAGGACGGGAGAAAAACATCAGTGTGAGAGCAAAACATCAATCAGCTGCCTCCTCCACACACCCTACCAGTTCATTTGTAAATTGGGATAACTTCATACATTTTGGAGGATTACATGAGCTGATTCATATAAGATATCTGGCAATAGTACCTGAAAATAAAAACTATTATTGCTAACCACAAATATTAGATCAGAAATGTCTATTGTTTAGGTAGTATATAGCTTAATTGGAAATACAAATAAGGTTCAAGTAACCTTTTTAAAAATAACACTTGTGAGAATAGAGCTTATTAAATTATCTAATCTGAGTCGAGTGCAAAAGGGGACATTTAAGTTTTTCTTTCATCAGTAATCCCTTGTAGTGTTTACTTTGGTTCCTTTAATTAAACATGAACAGTTCAAAATTACATGTTGTTTTAGTTCAGTAATAACCAGTAGATCTAACACAATACTTGGCAGTTAACTACCACTATCTGGAATTCTGTTTAATTAGGTAAAGAGGGTTTACACAAAACTTCAAGTGGGCTGAATCTAAGGGTGAAGTTGTATTAAGGATATCCATAGTAGTGATGAATCCAAATGATAACCATGGTGCAAAAAAATCAATTTTTAATGCACATTAAGCATATTTATCATCATGTCTACTTTAGAAAACCATTAGAGTAAAAGCTTCAAGTAAATAATGGCCATATTATAGAGATTTTTTTTCTGCTACCATACATCTTACTTTACTGAGTAGAGCCCTGGCTGGTGTTGACCAATGGTTAGAGCATTGGCCCCAGGCACCACAGGGTCATGGGTTTGATTCCTGGTCAAGGGCATATGCCTGGGTTGCAGGTTCCAGCCTTGCCCAGTCATTTGTGTGCAGGAGGCAACCAGTCGGCATGTCTCATGTTTCTCTCTCTCCTCCCTCTTCCTTCCACTCTCTTAAAAATCAATGGAAAAAGTATTTTCTGGTGAGGATTTAAAAAATAGACTGAGTAGAGATAGCTTTATATTGTGGTTCTGCCATCACATTGCCAAAATAGTTTGTTAAATCAGAAGAGAAACAAATTAGAAAACCACCCAGCAAAGAAATGCATTTCAATCACTTTATTGAAATGTATATCCCCCTTAGTACTAAAACACAATGGTAGTTGGTTAGGTTACCTCTGCAAACTCAGAATTAACATGGATGTAATTAAAATATTGAAATGTATCAGCCTTTTGGGAAAACTGAAAAGTTACCTACAAAACATATTGTTTACAAAAGTATGAGATATACTGTGGTTCTTTGGTTTATTTTCCAGTGCATATTTATTCATAACATGATGTCAACATTGGGCACAATCATCTTGGATGGACTCAGGCTACACATTGCACTGAGTGGTTTATAACACTTCTAACACTGTAGATCTCCTTATATTCACTGACTTACTAGCAAGTCCTGAACACTACCTCAGCAACCTCATGATTATAAAGATGGGTATTTACTTAAGACCTTCTGTTGGCACAGTAGGGAAAATTAGTGAAAGTATATTCCCTTCATTTTAAACAGAGTTGTAAATTAGAAGCAATGGCAGTTTTATAAAAACAGTCCTTAGTAAAAACTTCTGGAGTGTTAAATGAGCACGTTTTCAGAGTGATGTTAATTCGAGTCACTAGTACAATAAAACGAATTTTCTCAATGTGACTATACATTTTGCATAAAAACTTTTTTCCCTGGACACAAATATCACCTGTCTTATAGAAAAAAATGTTAAAGATAATACTCCAAGATTAACAGGTATGTAGTTTTGCTTTATATAAAATGAATGTAATTCCCATGTAGCAATCAAGTCCACATCTCTGAATCATCTATTACTTGCATTATGGGTGCTAAGAAACCATATTCACTGCCTAAAATAGTGACCCTTATAATGTCTTAAAAGTGCATTTATGAAATATTGGTTTTGATGTAAACCTCATAATTTAAAATTTAAATTAAGTAGGTTACCATTTTTAATACCTCCTAAATATACTGACCCAATATAGAAAGTTGGATCAATGTTAGAAATGAAGATTCACAGTTTACCTTCCCAGACTTTTCATTAACATTTCACATTATGGACTTGGCTTTGTTTGTATGCCTCAGCTGAATTCAAATTTAAGCATAATTCCACTATAGCATAATGTTAATTAGGCAGTTTTCCCAAATCTGAGAACATCAATGCTAATCCAGTTACGATGTTTTGAGGATTCACAGCTTAAATCCACTATAACATTATGGAATCCATCCTTCAGGATTGTGGCGAAAGGCTTCAGAGAAGTTTTTGTTGCTGTAATAATCCTATTTAAACAAACAAAAACTCAAGTTATTAGAAGTTTGCCAAACATAAGTATTACTGTTAAAAATGACTTACTGCTCATATCTAAGATTCATAATCATGTCACATGTAGGTGTGTTAAATGTTAACGTTGAGTTTTCAATAGGAAAAAAATCACAGAGTTATATTTAGATAGCAAGAATATATGTCAGTGACAATCAGGCATGTAACAATTTCCTAGGGTTCCAACTGCTATAGCAATGATACAAACTATAGTGTAATCTGCTGGTTTCCAAACACCCACTGTGAAGACTATCTGGCATAACTTATTTTTCTTTAAATACAACATCCAAGACCATACTGATTTTGCATATAAGGTAATCTCAAACTAGTTCATATATGGTTCAAACTTTTGGTCCTATTGTCCTACTCAGGCTTGTGTAACTTTAAATGAGCCAGAGTTTGAGTCTACATAAAGCAAAATGAATGATGTTCAATTAAATATTATTGTTTTAGTGCTTTTATTTTTTATTATTATATTTTAAATAGATTTTTTATTGACTTCAGAGAGGAAGGGAGAGGGATAGAGAGAGAGAGAAACCTCAATGATGAGAGAGAATCATTGATTGTCTGCCTCCTGCACTCCCCACATTGGGATCGAGCCCACAACTCGGCCATGTGCCCTGACCTGGACTCGAACCATGACCTCTTGGTTCCTAGGTCGATGCTCAACCACTGAGCTATGCTAGCTGAGCTAAGTGCTACATTTAAAATTCCAGTTATTCAACAGGATGCTGTTTCCTAAGCTGATAATGTAATGAAATGGCTAAATCGCATACCAAAGGTTGGATATTTCCTTATTGTTAGGGTGTTGTGCCTTGAATGTAGTTAATGCCCTAAAATATTAGCTGACTAGATCAGTGAAGTCATTATCCCCTTTGTAGTCCAATTCCATTTTTGTTTGGAAAATAATTCCGATCTTAATTCTTGAATTATAGAAGAAAACTATAGCATTATAAAAATTTCTCTAGCCGAAACCGGTTTGGCTCAGTGGATAGAGCGTCGCCCTGCGGACTGAAAGGTCCCAGGTTCGATTCCGGTCAAGGGCATGTACCTGGGTTGCGGGCACATCCCCAGTAAGAGATGTGCAGGAGGCAGCTGATCGATGGTTCTCTCTCATCGATGTTTCTAACTCTCTATCTCTCTCCCTTCCTCTCTGTAAAAAATCAATAAAATATTAAAAAAAAAATATCTCTATATGGGAAATAACTATGAACCCAATTTACCAATTAAGGAACCGTTTCAGGAATTGTTGGGAGGTGGGTTATTCTGTAGTAACTATGCTTCAATTGCCGTGCAGTCCGCCCAGAAACAATCCATTTCAACTTCTGAACATTTGGTTTGGAGCACTTGTTTGATGAATATTCAGTTAAACACTTGGATACGAGCTCTTGCCAGAAGGTCAAATCTCTGCCATTTATCTGTGCATAAATTTTTAAAAATTATTACTCAATTAAAAGTTCTATGGTATTTAACTACAGTAGTACTTGTAATCTTATTAACATGTGTCTTTCCTTGTCAAAATATTTGAAGCTACTCAAGTTTCAAACACATGATATCTCATTTTAGTTCAGGAGACAGTACAAGTGGATTAGTTTCTGTTACAGCTGTTAACAGGAATGACCTTGACATACCTTGGAATGTTTCTGAAGACATTCTATGACTTCTGTTAACTCTACACACTTCTGTGCTTGGATCTCCAATGCAATGATAGACAATGCCAACACAGAAGGCTAAAAGAAAAAAATTTAAGGTAAATGTTGACTATAAAAACAGGTACATAAATAGGTTTACTCTTTATATAAAATATTTACCCTTGCTTTAGAAAATAGGATCCTGCAGTGGCATGCCTTAAGTTGAGCTTCTAATCTTTCAAAATTAAGGCTATTCCTCCTTTAAAAAGAAAATGAGATTAATTTTATGTAGATCATTTTACATCTAGTCAAAAGTCAAATTTTTAGAAAGACACAAGTCAATTTTAAAGTTTAAGTTTATACACACAGAAAATAAATTATTTGAAGTAAACAATTCCTCTTCCTTCAGAGACATGAACGCCTTACAAATAAGTAACTCCTTAAGGATAGCAAACATGAATTTTAAGTCATTTGGGCCAAAAAAATAAAAAGTATCATGCCATAACTAACAAGGTTTCTTTTTATCTTTTTTAACTTAAAAAATATCTTTATTGTTGAAAGTATTACAGATGTCCCAGTTTTTCCCCTATTGACCCCTTCTAGCCCACACCCACCTCCTGCCCCAGGCCTTCACTATGGTTTCTTTGGATTTTAATAAATCTATTTCTGCATCTACTGAAGTTCCTTTTTCCAGTAATCTGTTAGATGCATACCTACTAGGTTTTATAAATTAACTAGTCTATAAATGGAAAATGAAATATAAGTAAAAGGTGAAATATCCTTTAGTCTCAAGAATTAGCCTTCACATACTTCCAGAGGCTATTGACAACTGAAAGTCTCATTTCTGCGGGACAGTGAAGTGTGAAATTCAAGGAGCTGCAGGTCCTTTGATAGGAATTCTCCCAGGATATTGATTTTAAGCATCATCCAGACCAGTGATTCCCAAAGTGGGCGCTACCGCCCCCCGGTGGGCGCTGCAGCAATCCAGGGGGGCGGTGATGGCCACAGGTGCATTTGGGGGCGATGAGTAACTGCTATTAAAATTTAAAAAAAAATTAATTTCCAGGGGCTGAGTAATATTTTTTCTGGAAAGGGGGCTGTAGGCCAAATAAGTTTGGGAACCACTGATCCAGACAATAACATTCTAATTTCCAAAAAGCCTTGGTTCAAGACAAAGATTACATACCTTTCAAATGGCAAGTTCTCTTGAATGAGTGAATAATAGAGTTGCAGAAATTGAAAGGCAGTAGTAGCTTTGACTTTCCAACACACTTTCTCCAATACAATCTTCTCCATTCTCATCAGGTCTGAAACAGTGAACCTATACTGGCTTATTCGGATCAAGTCACTTGCCAATGGGACATTCCTTTCCTCTTCTATTGATTTTACAGCCAGGTAGAAGCAGCTTAGTCCAACACACCCAAGGTGCTTGGGCTGTACCTAAAAAAGACAATAAGTCCATGTCTTTATCTTATTTCAATTAAAAAATAAAAGATAATCTAGAACTCAGACCCATCATTATGAAAATGAACCTTTGAGGTATATTTGTCATCTCTGAAGGAATTAACAAGTCAACTGTGGCCTGTCAATACAATGCACCCCACTTGGAACCAAATTTGGAGTAACTGGACTAAGTTGCAGTATAATGTTTGGGTTCAGCAAATAAAAATTCTTTTTTTTTTAATCACTATAGAACTATTAAGTGCTCTGTTCTAGTTGGACTAAATAAGTTAACTAGTCAAAGGCTTAGATGAGGACTGAAACACCTTACAGCTTATACACAAAATTTCTTTCCAGAATGTTGTGTTTTCCCAGGCTGTTTTCTCTGTAGTAACACCTTTTTAAAACACTATAGCACATAACTTCCACTCTGCCTGTAAAGCTCTATCTGCTACCAAGCTCTTATTTATTCATCACCTTCTGAATGTCTACAATGTGAGACAGTCAAATCCTCTCCACTCTTAAGTTGTAGCTCAAATACAATTTTAAGAAGCCTTTACAAGTGTTTCTAACTCTCCTCTTTTTAGAACCCCTTCAGCAATACCTTTATACTTCTTTAGCAGTATAATATATTTACTTTTCTTATTATGCCTTCTTCTGTATGATAGTGCAAACATTCTCACATAAGACTATATAATATACTGAAGGGATAGATGTATATTACTCATCTGTGCAACATTTATAGATTCAAAGATAATGCTTGCACATGCTGTCTAAAGAGTTGCATAATTAACCTATTCAACAAATTTCTTGAGCCATCCAATTCAACAAATACATTATTGAGTTCCTCCTATATAGGAGACATTGTGTTAGGTATCGAGAACTAAAAGATGAGTTTTATTCCAACTGTCAGATTATCTCATTATCTACCAATGACCATGGGCACACAGAGAAGGCAGATGTATTTTTAACAGCTAAGCTAGCTCTGAAAGATACATCGATATCCTGCTTATCCAAATATAGGGAAATAATTATGTAAATGCTGCTCCATCAGAAGATACTCTATATAAGCAGATGCTGGAAATGCCAAACATAAGCAAGACTTGAGTATGTCTAAGGCTAAAACCAGTATAACTTTATATATGAGTGGAGATCAATATACTTTATTGACCAAGTGGTTGATAACATCTCTAATTATTAATCACAACCTAGCATTCTGATGCTAACACATTTAAAAAAAAAAAATGAAAACACCCAACCTATCAAGAAAGATTTTTAAAAATAACAGCCAACTCTCCTACTGAGAGACTGCAATTAATGATTTGGTATTAGACTATGTTTCAGTGTCAGAAGTTAAATCTAATAAATAATGCATTACTCTTGATTTTAAAAAAAGAGTATTCATCAGTGATATAGTACAGAGAATGCTTGGGCTACCTGCTGAAAATAAAAAAGGTCAAGTTTCTGAATACCAACCCAAAGCTAGCAATTCCATCTCAAAAACATTGAGCAAAACTAAGAAACACTCAGGGTAGCCCTGGCTGGGTGGCTCAGTTGGTTGGAACATTGTCCCATACACCAAAAGGTTGCGGGTTCAATTCCTGGTCAGGGCACATACCTAGCTTGTGGGTTTGATTCCTGGTCTAGGCACGTATGGGAGACAACTGATCCATGTTTCTCTTTCTCTTTCTCTAAAATCAATAAAACATATCCTCGGGCGAGAATAAAAACAAAACAAAACACTCAGGGTAATGTAGCTTTAAACATACCTTCATTTTGGACAGGAATCTGTCCAGTAAATTCACAGCCAGAGAAAATGTCTCTGTGTCGAAGCCGAAGAACTGAGTTAGACTAAGGAGATCCTTCACTTCAAAGTCCCTCAGTCTTGCAGTCATCCTGAGGCCTTTATCGTAAGCAGATTCAATGAGTCTCAAGCCGCAGACCTTTGGCTGGCATCTCGGCTCCTGTTCCAACAGGGCATTCAGCTGGTGTAGCAGTTTCTGAGAGTCAGTTGTTGTGAGGACCTCTATCATCTATATATAGAACAAAGCCCAGAAAGGATAAGAATAGCCCTTCCTGCACTGTATTGTGCCAAGTGCTTGATAACATAAGTTTCCCCTCCCCCAGCGCTTCTAGTGAATCTAAGTCATTGCAATTTTAAAATATTGCAAACCTTCCATTCACTGTCAAGAGATGACTATGAGTTGTTAGACAAGATACCAAAACTTTGAAATTCTGCCATGCATTAACAGTGGGAACTGTTCAGGTTAGATAATTTTTCTTAGCCCTCAGTTCCTCATCTGTAAAGTGGGTATGAGGTTATTATTACCCACCTCACTGACTTGTGTGGAATACATGAGGTCACCTGGGTATAGAGCTTAGCATATACAGTAGGTGCCTAATCAACACTGGGCAATATTAATGACCTTACTTCTACGTCTGTAAAATGAGGCAATGATATGTCTCTCTGGCTGTGAAGATTAAATAAGACGATTCATGCAGAATTTAGCACAGTGCCTGGCCCACGGTGCTCAATAACTGTGAACTTTTACTGGTGTTAGGAAAGGAAGCTTAAGGAGTGTTATAGGAGCACAGAGGGAGTGGGAGGCTAGTCCAGCCTGCAAGAGGAAACGGAGTTTTCTAAATTAATAAATTGAAGTGGGTTGATAATTTTATTGCTTATTAATAATATTGCACATTTGTGTCCCAGGCACCACGCTAAGTCTTGGACGCACAAACGGTCCCTCCCTACACAACGGAAAGACAGGAATGCAGGGGGCCTTCAGCGCTGGGTTACGGAAGGGGGGCGCGGATGACGAGCCACTAACTTGACGGGTTCTCCCCCGGGCTGGTCCCTGGGACCCCGCCTGCCCGCTTTGACACTTGGACCCCGCGGATCTGAGACAAGTCGGACCTGGCCCCGCCCCTCGGGGCTCGGACTCGCCCGGACTTGTTGCTGACAGCAGCGGATTAGCTACCCGAGGGGAAGGACGCGGCCAGACTCACCCCCCATCCCGTGCCCCAGCCTGGCTCCCTCCCCGCCCGCTATGCCAGCCCCGCAGGCCCAGCTCACCTTGATCGCGAATGCGGCTCCTTCGCTGGAATCTTCCCTCCCCGGACCTGCTCGCACCTCCGCCCACGATATCAGATCCGAGAAGTCCTAGAGGCGCGGGGACTCGCGGGCAAGAGGGCACAGGCCCGGGGAGCGGGAGCTGTCCTGGGTGGAGGTCTCCGCAGCGCCGCCCAGACGACACTGCCCTCCTCGGGGTCAGCTCAGAGCCGAAGGGACCGCGACGGGCCTCCCGGGGAATATATCGGAGGGCGGGGCCTTCCTGCTAGGCAAGGGGAGCTTTGTCGCCGCTAATTGGTGCAGTTCATTTGATGGATGGCCCCCGCGGACCAAAGAGGACGGGTTTGTAGAGAGGAGGCCAATTCTCCGCCCCTCGAGACCACGCCCCCTCCCACTAAGCGTCTCTTATTGGAGAATTTTCCAAGGTGTCTTCAATGAAGAGGAGGGCGAAGGACATGCTGCGCGCACCAATCCTGGCCCGGGCCAGGTGTCTGCGGCGGCCGGATTGGCTAGCGTGCCATTCCCGAATGTACTGGGACTTCTTGTTCCTTGAGGTTTAGCAGAGCGGTTCTACCCCTCCTTCTAAAAGTACCTTGGCTAGTTACCAAAAAAAAGTAAAAATAAATAAATAAATAAAGTCTGCGTTTTCATTTCAAATGGAGAGGTGGTGGGTTTTTTACGGGCTAGTTTATTAAAGTCCAGAAACTTCTCTTGGTGAGCTGTGGAAATCAATGGATCCTTGTCTTGTTTTGCTTTTTTGTATACTTGGTCTAAGAGTGGAGTTGGGCTACATAAATTCTTGGTCTTATACCGATTTTCTGAGTTTGATGTTTTAAGCCAATTGAAATAGAAAAATCAGTAGTTTTTCAATGGCTTAAAATGAAAAGCGTGGTTGGCTCTTAAGAGGAATACATGGGCAAAATAATTGTAGTGACTGTGAATCTCAGTTCACAGGTGTGTGTGTGAAGCATTGTTGTTGTTATTTACTGTAAGTGAACTCAACCTCTGATTGTGAGTCTGTGCTGGGTTAGTGAGAAAATAATGTCTGAAGCCTTTCTGAACTCCCTCCCTCTCTTCTCTCTCCCAGATGGCCACAAATGAGAAAGGTCTACATTACAAGGACTCGTGAGCAAGGAGTCATTTATCAGTTTTCAGGGTCTGTACTTGAATGTCTCTATTCTGATGGCTTCTTCCTAGTTAGTGATTATCTGGGTTTTCACAAAGTAAAAATCTGAAAGTCTTGCTGGCATCTCTGCTGTTTGCCCTACCTTGCCCTTCCCTGGGGCAATGCCACAGAACCAAGTCCTGAAATGAGGGCAGAGTTGTGGGGAGGAGCGGGAGGGACAACTGGGGAGGAAAAGTTAATGCTGCAGAATAATATTTCAACCTCATAATCAGGTCAGTTTGACAAAGTGCGGCCTTGCAAATGGGGAAGTGGCCTTGGTTCTCCTTGAAAATAAACTATGCAATGAATATCAGTGGGCAATGTAAAACACTTAAAAAGTACTTATTAAAATAATTTGTGAGTTTACAAAATTATGTGTTTCTCTTTTGGGATTTTAATAACAAAATTAGAAATGTATTTACACAGGCATTTGTTCACTAATATCTTTTGAACATATAAAATGTGCTAGTGGAGAACAAAATATACTGGTCCCTGGCCTTGTGGAGCATATAGTCCTATGGACAGAATAAACATTAGACTTTGGAATAAAACTGACTTATTTTCAAATCACAGGCTACTGACTAGAGAAAACATTTCTCAAAAATAAGAAGTAAAAGTATTTTGTTCATATGGTTACTGAGAAGATTAAATAATGCAAAGTAAGTAAAGCGGTAGGCACTGTGCCCATAACACAGTAAGTACTTGATAAATTATTAAATCACTAACATTTCTTTTGAAATGCCTTCCTTAAACATACAGTTGTGTTTTCTCTATTGTTTTAGTCTTCTATTCTCAGCCTAGAATCAGAGTATTAGAATTATTTATTTGACACTAAAAGTATCTAAATTGCATATGTTAATTTCTAGACCTTATTGGTACTGGAAATTTTCACGTGAGATTTTAGATAATAAAAATTTTATGTAATAAAATGTTTTTTTCTCACATTAGGATCGTGTTACTTTGAATTAAGATAGAAAAATTCCGTACATAAAAAACAGTTTCAATAGCACTGAAGAAAAATTGATTAGTCAAGTCAAATGGACACTCTTTACCTTTTCTCTTCCTCCCACCCTCACCGTCATTTTTATTCCATAATATTGGAATACAGACTATAATTTAAATAATTTAAAAGACCTAATTAGCAAAATGTGCAAATGTAAGACTCAGTTATGTACTCTTCTAAAGGAAATGAGTCCTTTATTAACTATGACTTTAAAGATGTGTATATTTAATAATGAATTTCTCTGAGTCAAATGGCTGACTTGTAGTGTATTTCCCAGACTTGATGAAATATTCAGCTGCCATCTTCATACTTTTTTCTTCATCAACAACATTTAAGGACAGGAGAAGTGAAGCCCAGAAGAAAATGGCCTTAGGGAAAATAATGGCCTGGAGACTGAGCAACAAATCTCTCTCTTTCTCTCTCCTCCCTCCCTCCCTCCCTCCAATCTAAGGCCTCTATGACACTAAGACGATTTATATTCGGTTCACTGTATTGTTCTAGAAGCTTCTGGTCAAATACCCACAGACTACAATGGAAACAAGCTGCGTAAAGGAGCAGAAATTCTGTGTATTTAGCTTGCTTAAAAATTTTTTAATACATGTAAAGAAATATCACCAAATCCTTTATGTGTTTGTTTCTACATCGATTTTATATTCACAATTTCCAGTTTCAAATTATTCAAAGGACTATTTTTTTTTTAATTTAAAATATCCTGTTCTGTCAAGTTTAGGAGCTTTATATCAGAGCTGACATAAGAATAACAAAAAACCCCCCGCATTTTTGTACCTTTATGTAGTTAAAATATGATGGAACGAGGCATCAATTGGCTCAAGACGTCTTAAAATATCTAGCTTTTGTTGGAAGTCACCCATGCACAGATTTAGCTCAAACAGAATAAACACTTTAAGGCACATTATAGAAGTTTCTATTTCCAATGGAAATGTACATGTATTTACATTATGAAGCCATAAATACAGTTTGTGTGAGCATGAAAATATTTGCATGTGATAAATAATACTGCCAAATAGCCCTGAAACAGTTATTATTATTTTTTTTTGAAATAAGTAAATCTCCTGCCAAGCCTGGCCTTGTAGAAGAACGTTTAATAACGAAAAGCAGTAGTTTGGTTGAGACACGAAGGGATAGGCTACAGTTTGGATGTCAGTTTTCTCAGTTCCGAGTTCATAACCTCAGTACTTGGCGTAGTTTGCCGTGGTCGCCCCCACCTGCAGTTTTGCTCTCTGAGGTTTCGGTTTTCTGTCTGAAAATATTAAACGGAGAACCGCAGACACGGACAATTCGTGTTACATTGCGCACTGTTCTGAGTGGCGTGATGAAATCTCGCGAGTCGCGCTCGGCTCTGTTCTGGACGTGAGTCCTGCCCACGTCAGCGTGCCCACGCTGCAGACGTGCCCATATCAGCGTGCCCACGTCAGCGTGCCCATGCTGCAGATGCGCCCATGTCAGCGTGCCCACGCTGCAGACGCGCCCATGTCAGCGT